CTCTTGCTCTCTCTCACGATCTCTGTCGCTGCCTCTCTCTTTCTCTAAGAAATAAATAAAATCTTAAAAAAAAAAGAAAAAAGAAAAATGCCTCTAATATTGCTTATCAACCACCAATGTTTACCACTTGCTTATTCTAGGTATGGCCCCAAAATATACTTACCCGAATGATTAACCTAACAGCTACAACACCGGATGTGGCCATAATTTTGGCACTATTTGGAATTAAATTAAAGATAGTTGGCATAATGGCTTCAGCTCCATGGTCAAACTTATTTCCCAGAACTGATGACAGATGCCTACAATAAGAAATGAAAACTGTACTATAGTTGTATTTCTTGCAAACAGTGAAGCATATAAACCTCTTAACATCGCAGGGCTTTCATTTAAAGTTATCAAGAGATAAAAAGCAAGGGTCTAAGTAAGATACTTTCAAAATACTTCCAATGTGCACGCAGTGGATTTGGCAAATAGCCAATGGCCCAGGAGTTTGCTCCTTTTATTTTTTTAAATAAATCATTTCCAACTAATTAGTCTTAAAATAGCAAAAGACAAACTGATCATACCCTAATAAAATATAAATATGAAAAAGCTCCCTCACCCTTTTTTTCCTTTTGCCCCATTAAAAACCTTTAACACATAATATAAATGCTTCCATATCTGATACTTTCAACAGCTGCAGCATCTCCTTCCTGTAGCTGCTTTGATATTCGGACACACTTTCTAACACAGAAGTTCCAGCTTCAAACATGGATAACAGATTTAGCTAGGGTAAAATTTCACTGTAGTATATGCCTTTGACTTTAACTTTATAGCTACAGTGCACTTCTGGAAACAAACAAAAATTCTGATAATCATGCTACATCCTGCCAGCAAAATCAATGAAAAAGCTGAGAAACAGAAGTTTGTAAAATTTCTTCTTTCTGTGTTATTAATAATAACTGCTTCAAGTTTCAAATAGAGGCTTCAGAGCTAAGTCACTGAATAAAACTGAAAACCTGTCACTCTTTCCGTCACTGGGCAGGAAGCACTGTAATAGTATAAAAGTACCAACAGAAGCATAAATGGAACAGGTCCCAGAGACTAGTCAGAAGGTACATTAAAGAGACCTGCTGGGCATATTCAATGGACCATTTCAGAAGCGCCGCAACGAGGCTATTTTAGGATGTGTGAGAATCTGAAGCATGGTAGTCCTTACCCCAACGTGATACAAGCCTCCCGCACTACCTGAGACCGCAGGTCCTTAGCAGATAGTTTAAAGGCTCCATCCAAAAGACGCAAATGTTGAAAGAAGTTATCATACTCAGCAGCACCAGCCAAAAGTAAAGATCTTATCTTTTTTAGCTGATGGGATAGAGAAAATTCAGAGATACACAAAACAATTCTTAAAACAGTATATACAAAACAACAGAAGCCATCAAATATGAGAGATCAACATCAAAGTGAACTGGTATCAGAAGTTCTCCCAAAAGAATTCAGCCCATTCAGTATCAGCTACCGTACTGCATAAATCTACATATCACAAATAAGAACAAATTATTTTTATATGCAGTATCTTACAATTCTACAAAACGTATTTCTTAACTGGAAAACATTTTAGTGTATTTATAGAGTCTGTGCTAACGATAAAACACCAAAGCCTTCATTTTAACTCCTCCCCTAAAGCTTACCTTCCCCAGCAATGGACTCCAACTGCCATTCGTTTAGTGAATCAAAGGAAGAAGCAATCCCCTAGTCTTTTATATACTATCCTCCACTGTATCATTATTAAAAGACTAGTCTGAGTTTGAATGGAATACAGCGGTAACTTAATCGCCTCACTTCCTGCCAGCCGATCACTGGAAAATAGCTTTCCGCAGATAAGACACACTCTTGTTTTAATGTTCACCCCACTTTTCATTCATGCACTTTTTTAAACAGAAGGGACAGAATTTTCCAGCAAGTGATATGAAGAAAGAAAGGAAGAGAGGGACACATACTGAAAATGCCACTCAGGAAAGTCGACTTACTGGCCACCAATCACAATTAAATGTTGACTAAGGCAAGAGTGGAGGCCGTCTCCAGATGCTCCACGTTAGGTCTTTGTTAAAAGTACAGGACATACATAAGGGCATAGGTTGGCATGTTTTAGAAATAGAAATAGAAGTGAGGTACTCTACTAAAAGGGTTAAGTGTAAATATGGTAATTTATATTTAAAATACTTACTACTTAAAATTCATCAGAGCTATACCCCAATTGCATAATTAAGTATTTAGAACATTTAAATAAATCCAATGAAAATGTAATCACATGAAGTCAATGGCTTACAGCATTTACTCTTTGCTCCCAATCATGCTTGTCGTCAGATAATATTTCCCTAATCTTGTTTATGGATTCCTCAAGGTCTCGGCTGGAATAAATCTGTAAGCAAAATTAATTTACAACCAATATAAGAAAATTTACAGAATAAACAAAGATTAGTTTTTAATTACACGAAGTCAAGAGATTTTAGTAAGTATAGTTTTAAAAAAATTCAGTTTTCAGAAGGACCTATGAGTTAACACCTAGACAGATTTGCCTTAGAATGAGCTTCTTTCCCAATGTGAATATATACGCACTAGATTCGATGCCAAGTATGGATAACCATGCTTCAAACACAGCTTTACTATAGACTTAACGGATGATTTCATGTACAGAAGAGAAAGAAGCCAGCTGGGGAATGATCAGTGATGCTCAGGTCATTTATTATTCATAGTATTATTTATACCACCACACTCTCTTCAAATCTACTTTCTCATTTATGCTCACATCTTACTAGTAAAATAGGTAGGGGAATAATCAGCCAAGAATGACGCAAGCTGGGAAGGTCAAGGACTTAAGGATGAGCCTGAGCCTACAATGCCAGCTACCTGATTTATACACATATGGCAACCCAGCAGCAGGTAACAAGTGATCACAGGGTCATTAGTGCTATAGGAATCCGGAGCACCACATTCGAGGTAGGCTGAGGAAAAGTGTTATTAGCCCCAGTCAACTATGGACAACACTGAGGCACAAAGCAGGTAAAACGTGTGTACCCCAACCTCACAAGCAATCTCTGCTTTGTCTACTAGGTACTTAAGTGAAGCATCAAGACGGAATTAACTTGAGCTTTTATCAATCCATTCTTTATAGCTTTTCAGACACCCAGTTCCTTGAAATTTACAACTTGTCCAAAAAAAAGATAGTCCCTAAATAAGCATGCTTCTTTGTTCTCACACCTAATCTAATCATTGCATTTTCTCATTTACCTGACCTAACCCACAAATTTATTATTAGAGCAAGCAAGCAACTTCTCTCCAATTCTTACTTTGGGTCTTGACTTTTGCTCTTCATTTCAGCTGTCTCCTGTAGTCCTGAGAGTTAAAATTACCTCACCTAGGAAGGGACTTTACATATCACCTATTTGAAAACTGAAATTTGAAGAGTCAGTCTTATCTGTTTTTAATCAAACTCAAATATCCTCACTCACCTGCACTACAGGTACATCATCAAATGCTTTAATAAAGTCCTCTTCATCAACAGCACCAGCTCCTTCTTTTGCAGCTTTAAATAAGATTAATTTTTAAAATGTGAACAATGTGCAGAGGGGCAGTCTGAATAAACACAATCACCATTACATTTTGGAAGATTTGTAACTATTTTTTAAAGGCTTAATAAAAATTTAGAGTGCTGTGAAAATGACAAACATTACTAACTTTTAATATCAAGATGAAATGTAGTAATTCTACAATACTATATACATTAGTGTAAAGTCACTTAAAGAGACTACTGGCTAAGGAGGACATTTAGCCTTTAAAGGATATAGACAGTTTATACTGTAGTCATGTCTGAATCTTTTGAAAGCTTCCTAATAAACAGATACAGAACAAAAAATTTAATTTTCCAGGGAATAAATTAGGTTGTATTATTGTTAGGCATCTAGCATAACAAATTTGTGAAATATTCAAATAAGTTCTAAAGAATTTAACAGTTTCACTTCAACTTTGTATTAGTCTCAAAACATTTCCATTTCCTTGAATGCATGATAACTCAATTTTTCACTTACACATCAGGTGCAACTTTCCCTCATAAAGGTGTTATAAGATGCTCTGTATACTTGAAAGTTGATTGCTATCATTTGGGAGAGAATTTTTTCTTTTGCTAACATGAACTCTACTTCACACATGAAAATCATGTGACATTTTATCAGACCTTTTTTTTTCCCCCCGGAATAAAGGTTTCAAAATTGGAGTCTGTGGTCATCTTGCAACCCTCATTAATGATTTACACTGATTAGTTTGAGTGCTTTCCCTGAGTTTTCTCGCAGACAAGTTATTCGATGTTTGGGGTCCCCATGGACAACAGAGGGCTTTAAAGACGACTCTGGGAGCAGTAAATGTGTGTCCTCACTTTTGATGAAGATTCTTCACACTGAGTTCACAAGCTAACTGTGGACAGCAGACAGTAACGCCACACTGTGATGTGGTGCTCAGTGCCTGTTTTGGTGAAAAGACTGGATCCCCCCGAGCAGACAGGTCCTGAGCGCCGCCCCGGGGAAGTGCCACACCACGTACCCACATACTAAAAGGGACTCAGAAACCAACCATGGTCCGTGGGCCCCAGAATTAGACAAGGAGGAGTCAGTAAGCAAATTCATGACTATGTTGTTAAACAAAACGGGAAAAAAAGGATGAGAGCAGGGCTGAGCTCTCTACATAATCTAGAGTTGGGACTTCTGGAAGGGATGTATGGGTAAAGGGCAGGAAAGAAAAAAAAAAAGTGGTCTGATGATACACAGAGATTTTCTAAGCCTTGTTTGTGGAACTGATACGTCCCAAGTATAGATTTTTTTAAATAAGATTAGAAAGGTTTTTCAGTCATAAAGAGCAATGAAGTACTAATACATGCTACAACACAAATGAACCGCAAAAACACTACGCTAAGTGAAAGAAGCCAGACACAAAAGATCACAAATTACATGACTCCATTTCTATGAAATACCTAGAATGGGCAAATGACTGCTGATTGCCAGGGGCTGGAGGATATAAGAGATGGGGAGCAACTGTTTAAAGGGTCCGGGGCTTCCTTTTGGGAGTAGAGAAGCTCTTCTGGAATTAGACAGAGGTGATAGTTGCACAACACTGGGAATATACTAAATGCAACTGGATTGTGACCTTTAAAATGGTTAACTTGGTGTTTTGCGGATTTACACCAATTTAAAAAAATTTTTTTTAATGCATCAAAAAAATTTAAAAAATAGAAAGGACTAAGAATACCAATAAATGCACAGCTTTTCCTTCTGCCATCCTTGGTGTGAATATCCCTGTCAACCATGAGCACAGCTCTTCTAACATGGACAGAGAAGCTGGTAGCAGAGGCGCTGCGGGGACACCGAGCTGACTGAGGAAGACCCCAACAGTCTAGGACCAGTGCAGAAAGCCAGAAAGACCACCAGAAGGAGACAGCATTCTAAAGTCAATCCTTACCCCAGTTTTAACTTAGCTCATCTGCCAAGTTCAAAAGCCCAATGCTAACAATCAGAACAGTTCTAAAAACAGTGGCTACACAATTTAAAGTAAAAAGAAATTTAAATGTCAACTTAAAATGTGACAGCAAAATGCAAGTTGTATACAATAAGGACTCAAATTGTCTAAATTGGGGGGTGGCAGAGGAGGGATTTAGAAGACATCTTTGTAAGTCAATGTTCAAAGCTTTGGGGAGCTCATCTCTACCATTTACTTAGGCCAACGTCCATACACTGGTCTCACAAGGAATAACGCTACTTAAAGGAACAAAATACATTTTAAGGACAGAAGGCACACCATCTGACTTCTGGATAGTCTCAGTGTTCCTTAAGTAGAAGTTGGCAAAAAAAAAAAAAAAAAAAAAAAGGCCTCATGGTAATTTCAGGCATTGCTGGAGTCCCATAACTGAATAAAGCCATAGGGCACACTCGAGCTCTGTCTCCGAGCTCTAGCTTGCCTCTGCGCTAGCCATATTCTCCCACGGACTCCCCCATACCAGAACATTGGCAACACAGCAGCTCAAATTTCTACCCTATCAGCTATCAGTATGGACAGCACAGTACTAACTTAAAAAACAGCAAGCAGAAATTTATTGCCAACGGAATCACTTCACTCCTGAAGGACACAGAAGGCAAGCACATGCACATCTGGTTTTAAACACTGGCAGAGCCAACCCCAGAGCACCCCGAGGGTGTTGGTCTTACCTGAAGACTTGGATCCGAGAGTGGATGACCCAAGCCGGCGGGTGGTCCCCATTCCAACGTTTCTCCGTGAGCTGGGCGGAGCTTTGGACGATGTAGAACTAGCAGAGGAAGGTCTATTACCATCCACAGAATCTTCATCATCAAAATTTTTATCTGAAGAGTAAGCAGAGAAATCACTGTTTAAAAAAAAAAAAAGAAAGAAAGAAAGGTACTTTTCCACCCGAATGTAAAACAACAAACTAGCCTTAGAGAGATGAATGGTGTGCCTACTCTTGGGATCTGAAGTGCCAGTCCAGGGTCTAGAAAGGTCTTAGGTAAGTCCAGAATGCAGATACAAACATCATGTTTGCTTTCACATATCTAGAATGCTCTCCTGCTCCAATTTTGGAAAACAGAAAAATAAAGAAGAAAACAATCTCTTATAAAAACCACCACCTAAAAACAGTTCCTTTAACATTCTGGCGTTATTTCTGACCATTCTTGCATGCATTTTTTTTTTAAAAGATTTTATTTTATTTATTTCAAAGAGAGAGAGCGAGAGCACAAGAGGGGGTAGGGTCAGAGGGAGAAGCAGACTCCCCGCCGAGCAGGGAGCCCGACTCGGAACTCGATCCCGGGACTCTGGAACCATGACCCGAGCCGAAGGCAGTCGCTTAACCAACTGAGCCACCCAGGCGCCCCTGATGCATTTTTCAATAACAGCTGACACTAGGCTACTTATCATTTGGTATTTTGCTTATTTCAAATATGTGCGTTTTTCCATGTGATGAAATATGGTTCATAAACACCGTTTTAATGGTTGCTTGGTACTCTGTAATGAAAAAAATGCCACAACTGAAACTCTCTTGTTGTTAGGCATTTGGGGTCATTCTAATATGTCACCATTAGAAATAACATTGCAACAAACACCTTCCTACTTGTGTTTTTGTTTAAATTTCTAACAATTTTCAGAAAGAAAAAAAAAAAACCTTAGAAGTAATACCTGCTGGGTCCAAAAGTGTAAGTTTTTAGTATACACTGCCAAACTTATTTTCAGAAAGGTGAGGTATTTTTTTTCCTGGAAGTTCAAAGAAGTGCCTGTGTGTCACACCCTTGCCAATACTAAATACTATCATTTTTATTTTTATTTTTTAATAGTTAGCCAACTTATAGTACTATCATTTTTAAATGTCAGTCAATTTGACAGGTGAAAAAAATGCTTCCTCCTCAATGTTTCGTTTCTCTTTTAGCGGAGTTGAGCATTGTTTCGTCAGCTCATTAACTTCTAAATGTTCTAAGCATCAGTGGATCCAAGGAATATTTCTCAGGTTGCTTTAAAATTAAAAAGAAAAAACATCTTTGGGCTTTTAAAAATCAACATATTTAGAAACAACATTTGGATGACACAAAATTAAAGCTACCATGGTGCACTATATGGGGGTACCATGGGCTTACGTGGCATCTGGGAGGCATTTAGGAGGCTGGACAAAGAACCTAAGGGTAATTAAGGAAAAAAGAAAAAAGAAAAGAAAACAAAGCTCTGTAGCTGGCAATATTCATGATTTCTGAATAAGAGCGCTAGATCTTTATCAATACATCTAAAGTAAATAACTGTTGACCAGAAAACACAAAGAGCAGCCTGTTTCCTTGATCTGGTGGCTTCTTGGCTCAGCTTTCAACAGCCAAGTCTCGTGTCCACTCCGGAGCCTACTGTTCCTCACAACTATCAACAATCCACTTCAAAATACGTCGCTTCTTTTATCCAACACTGGTGGGGGTACGACCCATCCTTCTACATGCATATCCTTGTGCAAATTAGCTTCCTCCAAACATGCCTTTACAGTTCCCAGATTTCCCAGATCAAGCAATCCTCTTTCATAGACGGTTCTTTCAATCCACACATCAATTCCGCAGAAGTTCGACGGTCTCTTAGCACAGACTTCCCATGTGGATTCAAAAGGTGATTCTTGAACTGCAAGCACATTAACGAGCCCTTCCCAAGGGTAAAAGTGCGTCTGATGGAAAGGACAAGGACAACCCAAAGGAAATGCCACCCACTGAGCACTACCAGTATTAGCAGTGACAAGGACTGCTCTCAGCCCATCTGCCCTCAGGGGAACTCTAATCATTATTCTTGTCAGAACAGTAACAGTAACAGTCCCAGTCTGTGGGAAAGCGGCATAATGAACAGGGGACATGAGAACACTATTATGCTTCACTCAGAAATTCATGTTAAGTCTGTTCAGTTTTTCTCTCATGGGAAGGCACACCATGGAGAACTGCATTCACTTAGTGAGGATTATCTTCAATGGGCCAGTGTCACCGGATTTCCTGGGGTTTCTACTGGAGCAAGGACCAGCCAGACTCAACCACTTTCAGCAAACAGCTAGAAACCAGAGTCTATAAAACAACTCTTTCAGATGGGACAACAGACAGTGCAGAACTGTGAGCCCCGAGAGAGAGACAAGGTGACCTATACAGTCACCCAACTTCCTGCCTGGACACAATTTCCAGGCCACCAAATACTGGAAGGGGGACCCCAAATCGGACTGGAAGCCTTGCTAAGTTGAGAAAATGAAGATCATCAGTCTTCAAGGAGGCAGAGGGGGCTGGAAGGTACAGGCAGAGTGCTGAGAAAGGGAAGCTACACAGAAAGAGAAAGAGAGCTCTAGAAATGTACTGAGTTGCAGGCTGTGCAAGCAGGAGTGAAAATTCCACACACAAGGCAGGGTGAAAAATGACCAGTAAGCTACAAACTGAGCAATCTCCAATGTCTGCACAAAGTAGGAAGGTGTTCGAGCACCAGAGTAGAATGTTCTTGGAGACCCCGCTGAGCAGGGAGCCCGACCTCTCCCCCTCCCACCCTCCACTCATGCTTTCTCTCTCAAATAAATAAACAAAATCTTTTCTTAAAAAAGATTCAGTTATTTTCATGTGACCTCTGACCTCTGTACTAATAAAGTAATTCGGGGCACCTGGGTGGTTTTGTCGGTTGAGCGTCCGACTCTTGGTTTCGGCTCAGGTCACGATCTCAGGGTCGTGGGACTGAGCCCCGCGTCAGGCTCCGCACTCAATGCAGAGTCTGCTTGGGATTTTCTCTCTCCCCTCTCCTTCTGCCCCTCCCCCTGTTCATACACATGCTTGCGCACGCACTCTCTCTCTCTAAAGTAAATAAATAAATTAAAAAAAAAAAAAGAGAGAGAGAAAGAAAATAATTCATATGTCCTATTGGAATTAGAAATCCAGGGGAAAGGGAAAAGAATGTTATTTGTTTTCCAGATTAGCAGTTGGACACACTGCTTTTTTTTCCCCCCCACACTGCTTTACATTTAAAGATACTTCACCTGAAAAGGTGTCTGGAGGGATAAAAGCCAACTGAGCCTTGAAAACTAACAAGAAGTAAGTTTGTTCTATGTTCACCAGCTTTCTGAATACCCGGAAAAAAAATCAAATTAAAAAGGAGGTTAGGCCCTCTGAAAAGTACCCAATTTCAATCAACTAGGAAATTCTCTTACATAGAATGTGTTATTCCTTCACTGGACAGAGAAGCTGTATTTGCTGTGGTTAGAGTGGATCCACTCTAGATGCAGCCCCGAAGGAGAAGCCTCCAAGTCCCAGGTTCCAATAGATTTCTGTGTTTCTCAACTAAGCAATCCATACTGAACTCTACTCGTCACTGAAATCCTATTTTCTTTAGAGTTTTCGGCTAAGCAGACAAATGTTAGGCTATATCCTCTTTTTCTAGACCTTTAAGACAAAAATGTGTGAAAATGAGTATTTTTAGCTATTCTTGCTTGTGCCATTAACATTAGTTTAAAATTTTTCACACTGCAGAACATCTGTCACACAGAAAATGGTCGTACAGAAGGGTAAGTTTTCCCTGAGCCCAAAGGAATAACTGATTCTATCTCAAGCCACCACCACAAAAGCCGTCATCCGAGAGTCACTACTCTCATTTGACAGTCTTGGGTAGAAACCTGGGCCTTCAGGTCCCAGTCTTTTAATCCTTTTAAATCACCTGGGCTCCCTTCCCCCTTTTACATCACTGGGACAAGACATTTTTAAATGACTCATGAAGTTTCTACAGAGCAACACTGTGATCTTCGTCCAACTCTCCATCACCTCATTCCTGGCAACCCCGTAAGTAGGCACAGTGGAGTGAAAGCAGCAAATAGCATGCTGAAAAGGGCTACGGGTACAAAAGAGATTTTCAAACACAGAAGAGACAGGACCCTTTGAAGAAACAAAAGGCCAGAGAACACAGTCATCCGTGGACCTAAAAGCAAACCAGCAGAATTCTAAGCAAGTCTGTGAATGTGTCTTGCACAAGTCTTGAACTGTGGACAAGGTGCTGGGTGGAGGCTAGACAGTGACCGTGGCCGGCCCGGAGGGCAGAAGCAGTCCGTCAGCCTCACCTGACTCAGGCCCTGAAATCCCTGAGCAAGCCCTCCCAGGGCCCCAGCTGCCTCAGAACTAAACTTTAACCAAGCCAGATAGGGAAAGATATAAAGCGACAAGCCACAGACACATTCTATGGGTCAAAAATGATCAGAGGGGTGCCTGGGTGGCTCAGTCGGTTACATGTCTGACTCTTGGATTTGGCTCAGGCGGTAATCTCATGGGTTGTGAGATCAAGCCCCACGTTGGACTTGGTGCTCAGCGGGGGGTCCGCTTGAAGATTCTCCCCCTTTGCCCCTCCCCTCACTCACACACACATTCTCTCTCAAATAAGTATTTTTAAAAACAAAAAGATCAGAAAAACCACTCTATATACCACCGTGACAATAGGTTTGGGTCCAAGGTTGGTGGAGAAACAGATCAGTCTAAAGACAAGCCTTCAAGTTCAGTGTCTAGAACCTGGAATTATGAGACTTGGATTGCACTGTCCATTTAGCAAATGTATATACTCATCCACGAGAACAAACAAAATGTCACAGAAACTAAGAAATGTCTGTTCCATTGTCCATCTGCCAGGAAGGCGAGAACCTAAACCACAAAGCTTTTCCTCTCTTTCCTCCTAAGGCAGGCTTTGACTAGTGGAAGTCCAATGGGGAGGAAATGTCTCATTTTCTTTTCTTTTTTTTTTTTTTAAAGATTTTATTTATTTATTTGACAGAGAGAGACACAGAGAGAGAGGGAACACAAGCAGGGGGAGTGGGAGAGGGAGAAGCAGG